CTCCTCGGCGGGGGCGCCGCCGGCGGTGGATTTATCCACTACGGCGGTGATTCTCAACGACACGCAGTCGTAATTGGGGGTTTCGGTCTTCCTCTTAGCAGCGAGCGCGTGGAGCAAGTGCACGTACTGACCGCCCTGCCCGATTTCGAAGTCGAGGAAGTGGATTTTGGAGAGCCCTTGCTCCGCCGTAGCCTCGAGGATGGCGAGATTCGCCGCCATGAAACCAAGCTTGAAGCACGGCGAGGCGTCGTACAGCATCTGCGTCGAAGCCGCGTGCTCCTTCCCCAGAACCTCCGGCTGGGACGGCTGCGCCGGCGCCAAGCGCGCCCTCAGCGCCGCGGCCATATAAGCAGCGAGCCGCTGCTCAGGGGTCCCGCGCGGGTTCGCCGCCGGTTGCTGGAAGCGGGCAAGTGTCTCGACGGCGACCTCCGGACGGCCGTCGACGATGGCGGCCGCGGCCTCGACGAGGGCCTGCTTCGGGCAGGGGAGCGCCGGCGTGGCCGAGGAGCAGGAGGAGGAGGACGAGGTTGGGGATGAAGAAATGGGCTTTCGGGCCGGGCCGATCAGGTTCTGAATCGTGTCCGGCCACTCGCTGTCGGTGACGGCGGATACTGTTTCGCCCTCTTCGTCGTCTCCGAGGAGCTGCTTTTCGAGCTCCAGCAGCTTGTGGCTCATCATAACGCTCTTCTCCGACTGATCCCGGATCGAATACTCCGGGTCCGAACTCAAATTACTCGGTCCGAATCCTATGTTCTGGCCCGAATTAAGCATTGACGCTCCGGCGGGCAAATTGCCGCCGGAGTTTCTGTTTAAAATCGTGAGGGGCGACAGCCGGTGCTGCTGGTGGACGGGGAGTCCGTACCGCGGGTTGAGGGTGGACATCACCGGTGAAATCGAGGGAATCTGAGTGAGATCCGTTGCAGTGAGCGGCGAAACAGGTGGCGCGTGGTGGTAGTTGCCGGGCCTCTGTTTCACGTTCCGGAGATAAAATCCCAGCCCCTGGCTCGCATGCTGAAAATCGGCGAGCGACCTCTTGCCGGTAAACTCGGGCCGCGGGATCTGTGCGACCGGGTCGGGTGGGAGTCCGGCGAGCGGCGAGCGGAAGGAGAATTGCTGTTGGTGGTTGGGATTTGCGTTGAAGGTGCCGGCGTTGGCGGACGTGGATAGGACAGCGGACCTGCGTCCGCCGGAGAAGAAGTCCGGTACGCCGCCGGAGAAGCCGGAAGACATGGGAATGGGGAATTTAGATAGTGAATGAGAGGGATTGGGGTGGTGTTATAGAGAGAGAAAGTGCGGAGAGTGGCGGAAGATGTGATTCAGTGTATTTTTTCAATGTAAAGGTGTTTTGGATTGATTCTTGTTGTCGCTATATTTTAAAGGAAGGAAGATAAATAGAGACTAGTTTCGGTTATAGAGAACAATAAATGTGAAGGCAATTAAAATAATGCCATGTTTGGTTGTGGAAATGAAGTCTACTCGATGATTTTTTTTTTTTTTTTTAATTGAGGTTAATTCTATATTTATTAGTATGTGACCCGTGCGATACCCAGGAAAACAATATTACGATTGTATTATAAATTAAATATATAAATAAATTAATCAAGATATACTCATGGTTTTTAAATTAACCGTGTTGAACACAGTCTGATCGAAAGGACTGAGAATCAGTTTAGAACCAGTCTTGTTCGCTTGAATAAACTATTTGCTATTGAATTCGCCAACACCAGTCGGTTGAACTGGTAGGATCGATACAATTTTATAAATAAATATTGCTACATTTAAAATTATTTTAAATAAAATAAAAATTTATAAATTATTTATTAATTAGTTTAAACATTTGAATTTTTAAATTATTTATATATTTAAGTAACACATTTTATTTGAATTTGGCACAAAAGGCATATATATATAAAGAGAGAAACCATTTTACCAAAAATAATAACAAAAAAATAATATATATATAACAAAAATCATACATATATATAACAAAAATATATATATATATATATATATAACAAAAAAAATTCTATGGAGTTATCGGATAGTTTTCTTATGGAGTCATCCACCACTTAATGTATTGACATCTGTCCAAATTATATTTATTGCAGAACATGTGTCAGGTACACTAATGGTGAATCCGATGGCTCCTAGGAGTAAGCAGAAAACCGAATTTTCCCGTACCGAACCGGACCAAAATGGTCTCGTTCTGAAAAATTGGGTTCCGAAAGGTTCTCTTTATTTTTGTCTCGTTCCCGGTACCAACGTTTTAAACAATGTCGGTATCACTTTTGAATATTTTTGTCTCGAACTGTCCCATTGTCCTGTTTCATTTTTTTTTCATACAAAATATTATATATATATATATATATATTACATTATTATTATATTTTATACTAGTATTATAGTACCAATTACATAATTAACAATATGTCATTGTGGTATTTAATTTATAATAGCATTCTAATTTTATAATATAATATATAAAAAAAAAAAAAGCTCAGTTAACAAGCCAAAACTAAACAATCAAGCCCAAAAAGAAAAACAAAAAATAAACAATGCATTTGGTAATCAAGCCCAACACAATGCTTATGAAAATTGATTTGATTAAATATCTTATCATCGATATTCAAGGCTCGACTCGTTTGCTCGAGCGACCAAGCTCGAGTCGAACATTAATTCGAGCGCTCAAGAACAATTCGCGAGTCACTCGACTCGTTTGCAGTCCTACTTTGTACCCCAAAATTCCTCATCCAAACACACCCTAATGTTAATTTGCAAAAGACTAGAGTATTATATACCAAATACTTTTGTGGTTAATTTAAGAACCATATTTCAAAATTTGAACTTGTTGCTTTCACGACACAGCAAATACTGCACCGATACATTCTGTTACACCAACACCGTTAGATGGAATGATTTCTTCACGAAACCGAGGATGAATGAACGGTGAGGATTTCAAGAAGCTTAATTATTTATTTTATTTTTTTTTCTGTTAGGATACCGCCACAAGGCTGGCACGCCGGCACGCGCCTAACCGTCATATTACCACACACGCTTTTTAATATTGTCCAAGTTCACATAATATAGGAAAATTAGTTATATAATTTAAAAATAAATTGACGTTATTACAAGAAAATAACTTAATTTGTAACGACGGTGATTTATTCTTTTATTTTAATTTTATTCTATTTTAATTGAAAAAAAAGAGAATATGAGTTAGGTATTTTAGCTTCACTTTATATTTGAATTTAATTTCTTACACTAAATATTCAACCCACGATGGAAGGTGTAAAATTTCTGAATTTTTGATAATTGGGTTTGGATATCGATCAAATTTTTATCAATTTAAGTTTAATTAAACAAACTAAACGAGCTCGAATTTGATTAATTTAACAATTTTAACAAGTCGAGTGCGAAAAATTAAACTTGTTTAAAGTTCATAAAATTACGCAAGAATTCTATTCTCGAGCGCTAATGAGCTTTGCTAGGTTTGACTGGACAACCAAACGATTCCGAGCTCAAACTTTTACCAATCGAGTCGAGCTTATTCGCGCCATTTCGTTTTAACGGTTGTAAAAAGATTGTACATAAATTATTATACTACAATACTATCTTCTTGACATGTGAACATGTATTTTTTGGTCTTGTTTTTTAGGTTTGGGCTGCTGGCCCCGGTACTGGTTCTGATTCCCCTGTGGGGGGCGTTTCTATTCTCCCGTAGGGAGCGATTTTAGTTGGTGTGTTTGTGTCTGTTAGTTGTGTGTTTGTTTTTCTATTCTAGCGTGGCTAGCGAAATTTTAGGCGGACTTTTGATTCATTCTCTCAGTCTCTAGTTCCGGGTTGTAATATTCAGCCTTGGGCTGTTTTTTTGCACAATTATGCGTTTTGATTTATAATATCTCTATCGTTTTGGAAAAAAAAAAAGACATGTGAACATGATTTTTGCGGCTATATTATTAAATCTTATGAATTTAGACACCGTCAAATAATTAACTTTTATTTTAGTCTTAGAAATAATCGTACTTATGGACTTATAGTAATTGGTTTTAATTTTTGTTACTCATTTATTAATTGTGTCCGTGAATATCAATAAATTAACAAAAAAATAATAAATTTTTCGTGGTTTAACAAATATTCGACGATGTTCACTTTCTATTGCTTATGGCATTTAAAGTCAAAAGAATAGGTTCTGTTTAATCTGAAACCAAACTGGTGGAACAAATTATAAAGGCCATTCAATTTAGTTATAACTTTATATTCGTCTTCACCACTATGTTTT